CAAACCCAAGATAACCACAGCTATACATAATGTATGAAACCCGGGCAATGGCGCTGTGGTCTTTCTAGTAAATTTCCATTCTTCCTAGTGTAAACGGTTAGACTTGTGCATGATTTTTCCCTGCCTGATACCAAATGCATGCACGTCTCGTTTACCCTGTGCAGCTCGAGTTGTTTTTCGATCCCTTTTGTTGTTGCTGCTGAGAGAAAACAAATTACACTCTACGATTTCTATGGTTGCCCTTCCTTTTTCTAAGAGGCAAAGGACACTGATCCAGGAGCTAAGGGGGCTGGAAACGCTAAGCAAGCCTCAGGAATGGGAACTGTGTTTGTATTTGTATTCGATTCGGGTTCGAGGTAGTTTATCAAGTGTTCCGCCTAGATGCCCGCAGCGCCCGGGAGCTTGCATTGTCTGCAGGAGTCGAACCAGGCCGCTGCAAAGTTTGGCCGCTGCCTCTTAGAAAGGAAAAAAAAAGCAACAAGAAAAGGCTTCTAGTAAAGCATAGCTAACACAGCAATAAATACACAGCCCCTGTTCTCGGTAGACTCCGATGTGGAGCGAAAGGCAGAGGGTTTTGCTACAGCAGGACGTGCATTTATTAAGAAATTCACACAGAAGGAAGTTTCAGGCAAAACAGCTTCCACTGAGAGGTCTCATTTTTGTTTCAGGTTCGCCCCAACGGATTATCCACAGGAACCCGAAGATCCTACAAAAAGAGTTAAAGTCAAAATTCAAGAAAAAACATAAGAGTGGTGAGTTTGTTGTATTCGCTTTTCCACCCGTTTGTCTCCTCTGTAGCTACACCAGCCGCCGCCACGAAATGTGTATGGTAGGGGAGAGATCAAAAACGCTCGGAAGTGTATCATGGAGTGGCACCCGACAGACACACGTTACAATATACATTGCACTACACATTCGGCGATTTTCAAATCGACTGTTGTTTAATAGCGGTAACCCACTCCTCCAAACCCTTCCCGAGCGTGTTAGTACACCAGAAGCTAAACAAAGACATACATAAATGCAAATGCTTGAAATAGCTCAACCCCATTGAAGTAGCTCGTTATTAGAGATTTTTAAACCCGATGGAAAAGAAAGCCCGCGTTTAACAGAACCACACTGAGATCGATTCCGCTTCCTCGAATGGGAATTTCTCCCCGGCTTCAGTGGGAGCTGGAGCTGGCTTTTTAAAGCCTGTGGGCTTTTTTCTGCTGCTTTGATGTAGCAAAGATTTCCTTACAACATTACTGTTAAGTCCCAAAACAATGCTTAAGGAAGACGTCTATTTTGCTCAAGAGAACCGTCAACATCGGTCAGGCAGAGAAAGAAAGCATCATTATGATCCAAATTTAGAAACAGTAACTGGAGTTTAGAGCTTAAAACCACTGTAAGAGAAGCAGGTCAGACAGCTATTAAAACGCAAGCTTTGGATACCATCTATAGCACACATACATCTCTGCATTAATGGCAGCCATGGGCATACTATATCAGACACACTCTTTCCCCTCCCAAACCCTTTTCCTCAAAGTTAATTTCCTGGAAGTCTTCGAGGTGCAGACTCTCCAGCCATTCTGTAAACTGTCCTCCAGCAAATCCACCAACTATTGGGAGAGAGGGGCTTGTGTGGGGGTGAATAAAATCAGAAAAACAGACACGCAGTTAAAAAAAAATCCCTGGCAGCGTGAAGGAAAATTGCCTGTGCCCTGGACGAGAAGCAGTAAAGGAAGAAACTCGTTTGGCTACTTTATATACATGTGCGCTTCCAGGCTTTAAATAAGGCAAATTTGCGGAGTAGGGGATTCTTTTGCTGGTCTGCCTCCTACGCGCAGCCTGTTTTACACTTCTGAAAGTGCTGGGTCTTGGGAAGTGTTTGCCTTTTCATTCCCTACTGAAGCGTTTACTGCTATAGCACTAGCAGTCATAAATTTTGTTACAAACCACAATGACAGGTGCATTGATATGCACCGTGAGAGCTCCGGCTGCTTAATAACCACTCCACTGGCCGCTCTTACTGCCTTATATTTATTTATTCGGTATCATATTAGATATTGATCCTAAGCAGAATTAAGTGTAGTGGAAATTTTAGTAGAGAACTGCTTAATATGAATATGTTTGGGTGCCGGATCGAATACAATTGTGAGGCTGGGAACTTGTCAAAATGGGAGCTACTTGCATTTCGGGCACACACGTGGGGTGCGTGTCTGTGTGGGTAGGGGAAAGACTGCTGCTTGCTCTAAAATTCCTGCATCTCTTGTAGCCAGTCTGATCTCTAGATAGGGCTGGAGAAGGGTTGGGAGCTTGGAAGAGCATTGAAAACTGTGACGGGACAAAGAGCTCCATTATCATATGTAATGTATAGCGGTTCCGA